CTTGCGCGCGCAGACGGGGACTCGCGGCCGCCTCGGGCGTCTGGCCGGGGACGGAGCCGGACGTGCACGGGGCTTGGGGCAGAAGCGGGGAGGCGGCCTTCCAGGCAGAGGGACGCAGGGTCTGTTACGTGCAGCGTCCCCAGGAGAGGCTGCTGGGGGCGGAGCGCTGAGAATCGATTTCCGCACTGCTCGTGAAGGCCGTGGCCTTGCTGGTGCTGGAGGGCGCCCGTGTACATCCAGGTCTGCAGGGCCCCGGGTCACGTCCCGGCCTGGCACCGGGGGAATGCAGCCAGCACAGCTCCGTCAGGGCCGGCCTCAGGGCAGTGCACGCTCTGCGCGCCCGCCTGTCTGGGTCGTCGCTCCGGCCTGGAGCCCTGTATTTCTAATTCTAGGCCTCCCTGCCTTTGTCCCTACGATTCCTTCTTTCTGTGAAATGCTTCCCTTCACCTCCACTTGGCCAAACCAGTTTTTTATCGGTCGGGATCCACTTCATTTGCTGAAAATCCTTCCCCGAATTTATAAAGCAGGACATCTTCTTGCCTTAAGGCACTTTCATTGTGTCCCAGTTAGAGGACAGCCTGTTGCACTAATTATTTGTATTCCATGTCACCCGAAAACAGCCAGGAAAATAATAAAAAGTTAATTGAACTTGCTGCGGCAAAGGGATGTGCCAGAGGACCCGTGACTCTCCCCCAAACGGGAGTTACAGAAGGGTCCTCGGAGGCCTGCTGCTGGAGTTAGCTGTAGGTGGTCTTGGCGGGGATGGGTCAGACCTTGTAACCAGGAGAGTCACTGGAGGAGTCAGGGAGGGGACAGCCAGGGACCAAGTTAGGTCCCGGGTTAGGCCAGCTGAACCCTCTCCCCACATCTGGAGATGGGGGCTGAGGCCCAGTTCCAGGGGTGCTGCTTTCCCTGGCATTTGCTCATAAGTTACCCTTGCCAGGAGGACCGTCCTAGTGGTTGGACTCCGTGATCAGATAGCACGGCTGGGCCAGAGCCTGTGATGCTGGGAATGGCCTTGACAGGCCCCCAGCAGCTGGGGGTGGGGCGCTGACAAAGTAGGGAGCTTCACCAGGAGGGGGCCCAGGCATCCTCCTTGGAAAAGTCAGTCTGTAACCCTCTCATGCTGTCCTGCCCAGACCAGATCGTTCAGAAGAGGGCTGTTGGGCCCTGACTTGCCAGGGCGTGCAGAGGGGGAAGACCAGTTCTTTCTGCAGTGAGCCCCCTTTCCCTACATGCAGAATCCTCCCCCAGCCTCCCTCCCCGCTCCCCAGGGGACTCAGGACAGACTCAGGCTCCTTCTCTGGAGACTTCTCGTCCCACCTCTCAGGGCACCAACTCGGTGTGTTCTGCTCTGAAGCCTGCATCTCATCCAGGGAAGGATACAGACACTGTGTCCACCCCATCTGGAGTAAGGATGGCCTGGCAGGGGCAGGTCACAGGAGGCTGAGCTGCTCCCTGTGGCGTGGACCGGGCGGCTGCATGTGGTTTTGCTTCCTGGTCCTCTGAGTTCTAGCCCAGCACCTACCACCAGGGCCCCCGTCACACGGGATCTCCTGGGAGCTCTGGCCACGTGGCACCTGAGCACTTCACTGTGGCTGCAGCCACCAAGGAACTAACATTTTGTTTACTTGTTCTGGCTTTTTACTGACATGTAACTAGCCACGTGTGACTAGTGGTTGGCCAGCACAGGGACCTAGAGACAGTGAGGTCCACCACATAATGGCTGCTTGCTGTGTGTTTCCCCCGTGAGGTGAGTGTTTTTACGTGTTCTCTTTTGAGAATCTTAAGAATTATATTCAACAACAAGAATAGCATTATTTGATTTTTTTAAACCCCCCAAAAGAAAACAATAAACAAAATAAAGCTTTAGTTGAACTGCATTGCAGGTCATTTTGAGGCCCTGGCCACTGTTCCAGGTTAGGGCTAAGTCACTTCTAACCGCAATCTGCCAAGTCCAGCAAAACTCGGCAGGTACAGGTGTGTGGTTCTCTGTTGTCAGCACTGCCAATCTGTGCACCACAGCCAAGGCCGCCTGGCCTGGTCTGGTCACCTGAGAAGCCAGCACAGCTACGTATGGCAGGGGCTCAGCACAGGGCCTCGCCCGCTGTGGGCACAGATTCGGGCAGCCCTCCCTGTCCTGCAGGACCCAGCTCCGCAGGCCACCTGCCCCGCCTGTGCCTGGCTAATCAGGCATTTTGCAACCTAACGGTCAGCATCGACCTGCTCAGTTCCAGGGACCTAAGGCACTTTTGACAGGGAGAGACCTGACTCAGAACAGGAAGGAAGGGCGGTTTGTGGGGACCCAGTTCCGGCCTGACCAGTGAGTCTGGCTTCCCTGAACAGCCCTGCAGGTGGAGAGTGGGCAAGGTTGGGGGTGAGGGGGCCGTCCAGACCACAGCTCCCAGAAACCACTCGTGACCAGACCCGCTTCCGACCTGCACAGCGCGCCCTTCCCCACAGCTGCTCTCAGGAGTTAGGCGTCATTGCACTTAAACCCAGGAAGTAGAAACACACCAGAAATGACCGCTGCAGGCTTGAAAGGTCTCAAGACAGCTGTGTTCAGAGGTACAAACATTTGCAATTCATATTTCAAATATGCCAAACAGTACCTAAAAGTGCACGTTTCCCCACGAGCAGAGGCGAAAAAGTAGCTTTTCGTAACTGTTAGAGTGTACAAGTGAACCACACACTGCACGTGTGTCTGCACCATTCCTCTAAAATGTAAAAGAATAGTAAGATTTCTCCCTTTCGTTCCTAGAAACACCTGGGGGGAAATGACTGCTTCTCGTTCCCAGTCATCTGAGCAGGCACTTGCACCAGGTGCCCCGCCTTCCCACGCTGTCTGGAGAGGACATGGGGACGAGGTGACAGCAGCTTCCCCCCAGGAAACCCAGGTCGGGGCAAGTGGAAAGAAGCTCCCCACTGCTGAGGGGGCCTCGCCAAGGACTCTCCAGGGGAGGGAAGGCGGGGACGTTGGGACTTCACATTAAGGGCGGTGTGGGCTCTGTGCTGGGGGGACACACATGGGATGGCCAGGAATCTCCCAGCTTGGAGCTGTGTCTGGAGCACAGGTTGGCGCCGGGTCTCGGCAAAGCCCGTCACGGGCCGGCCGCCTGCTTGTCTTTGTACTTGTGGTAGGCACTCAGGATCTCTGTGACGACGCTGGGGTCCTCCAGCGTGGTGGTGTCCCCCAGGTCCTGGGCCTTGTCCGTGATGATCTTCCTCAGGAGCCTCCGCATGACTTTCCCAGACCGCGTCTTTGGAAGACGTTTCACTACCTGGCAGGGAAGGTGCAGTGTGAGTGCCGGGCAGCGCCCGGACTCCCCCCCCCGGCATCGCTGCGCCTGGAGCTGAGGCGGCCTCTGCTGGGAGCACACCCGGCCCTGGGACCTGGTGGTGTGCAGCCCACCGCGGAGGACAGCGGGGCCGAGGCCTCTGCTTCTGTCCCCTCCCCCGGACCTAAAGCTGACATCAGCCCAGAGGGCGGGACCAGGCACGGTCAGGGGTGTCACTGACGCCCTCCACCCGGGAGGCCCCCCGGGCCGGAGCTGACCTCACCGCCGACACCTGCTTCTCTGCCCCCCTCGCGAGGGAGGGCTCGCAGGTGCAGCAAAGCCAGGCCACACTGTGGCCCCTTGTCTCCTCCCCCAGCTGAGGCCGAAGCGGCTTTTTTCTAACAAGAAGCAAGAGTTGCTTGAGAGGAGAATGTTGTCCTGCTTCGTGTTTGAAATTCAGCGTTTAACATTTTCTAACAACCACAGCCGCCCAACATCAAGGCAGTACGTTAAAAACCGAGTTTGGGCCCCTAACTGTGAATGAGTCCAGTTCACCTCTAGGGGGTTCAGGGGAAACTGGTCACCAGACCGACAGTTTGACCTCGTGTGGCACCAAGTGAGGCTGGGCCCTCCTGCCTCAGGCCAGGCTCCCAGCCGAGGAAGGTAGTGGGTCGGTGTTAAAGGAAAGAGTGAAAAGCCAGTGGGACTGAAAACGGTCCAGCTCCTCCCCAGAACCAGCCCCAACACAGGCACCCGTCAGGGCTGGTGGTGTCTCTCTCACAGCAACCAAATCCCGCTCAGAAAGCGGTGGGCGCTGGGGAACTCTAGCCCTGTCCCAGGCCTGTTTGTGATGCCCACTTCTCTGCAGTGACCAGCCTGCTCCCGAAACCAGCCTCATATGCTCAGCTCTCCCCACACAGGTGGCCATGTCTCCATCCCCTGAGGATGCAGGGCCCACCATCCTCACCTACCTCCTGGGAGTTCTGGGGCGGACAGGAGGGGCCATCGGCTCTGGGAAGCAAGGGGGAGGCTTAAAAGCAGCAGTGCTATGGCCCCGAGGCAAGTCCACTCACCAGAATCTGATCGGGCACCGCGTACTTGGCAATCTTGGTGGCCACCGCGGACCGGAGCTCATTCATCACCGTGTCTGCGTCACCCGCGTCCTCTTTCAGCACGATGAAGGCAAACGCGGCTGGAAGGAGAGCAAAGGTGTAGGATGCGCTAGACCATGAATAAACCCAAAGTGTGTCCCCAGTGAGGACCCCTTACTCTGGGCCCCCTGCCCATCACTGCGCAGTAGGAACCACGGGGCGGCCACGGAGCCGCTCCAGGACACCCGCCCTCTGCCAACGCAGCGGCTGCAGAGCTGGCCCAGGCGCTGTGATGGAGCGCGGGCGAGGGGACGCGTGACAGAGCAGGGCACCTCATACAGGCCATCCCTGATAGGGCCGCCAGAGCCCATGGACAGGGAGGAGGCTCCCCGAGCTCAGCTGGGCCGACGTGACAGCTGTGTGTGGGTGAGCGTCCTTAAAGGACAGTGGAGCTAGGGCCTCTCAGAGCCCTGACTTCCTTCTGACATGCGACGCCTGCTCTTCAGCCACCCACCCAAATTCTCCACTCAGACAGACGGGAACCCAGCCAGACCTACAAGTCTGTGCCTCGCGGAGGACCCCTGGTGGGCGTGAGCCCAGGACCGGGGGGTCCTCTCATGGGGGACACCCACCTTCTCCCTTGATGTCATGGGGGTAGCCGATGACGGCCGTCTCCGGCACCGCAGGGTGGTCAGCCTGTGCACGGGAGGACGAGACAACAGAGGTGAAACCCCAACTGGGCACTCAATGACCACCCCACACCTCAGCGCCCAGCAGCCAGCCCGGGGAGCCACACTCACCAGAGCGTCCTCGATCTCGGCCGTCCCCACCCGGTGGCCACTGATATTGATCACGTCGTCCATCCGCCCTGTGATCTGGTAGTAGCCTTCCGGGGTCCGGTAGGCGCCGTCCCCGGTGAAGTAGTAGCCTGCAGCATAGCGGGGGTCTCGGCGCCAGCTCCGACCCAGGCCCGCGGGGCTCCCAGTGCCCCACGGAAGGACGCGCTCCTGCCCCGCTGGCCTCCTCGTGACCCCACAGAGACCCTTCTCAGATGCCACAGGGCTGGTGCCGGTAAAGGGCAGAGAGGCCCAACAGCCAGAGGCGGCCGGCTGTGGGAGCAGGTGACGCGAGGGGCACAAGCCTCCCTGACAAGTGTGCGCTGAACGTCATCAGTTCCCACAGGGACACGTGGGCACACACTCCAGCCCGACCGCACGAGCAGCGGGCAGGGACTGGAGCCGTGGCTTGTCCCCAGGGTGGCTCCCACCCCTCTCCTGGGAGCCAACGGCTTGCCCCCTCCCAAGGGCCCTCTCAGAGCTAAGGGAAGTAGGGCGGGTTCACCCACTGCGCTCAGACCTCTGAGCCCGAGTCCAGTGGTGGCGGGAAAGGCTCACCTGGATAAGCCTTGAAGTAGGCGTCCAGGAATCTCTGGTGGTCTCCGAAGATGGTCCTGGCCATGCCCGGCCAGGCTTGGGAGAGGCACAGAGCCCCAGAGACGTCCCCGCCCTCCACGACATTTCCCTACAGACCCGGGGGACACAGGACGAAACGACCCTGTCATCATCTCCTAACTGCCAGCTTGACTCAGGCAAAGGACAAGGGCCCAGGAAGGAGCTGCCCGGGGCCTTCTCCTCCAACCAGAGAAGGGGCAGCGGAGGCTGGGAAGGTGCAGTGGGCTGGGCAGGGCACGAGGAGGGGACTCACCTGCTCATCCATGAGGACAGGGACGATGCCAAAGAAAGGCCTCATGGCCATGGCGGGTATGATCTCTGCCCCCTCCTCCGAGGGCCGCGGGGAGATGCAGATGCCACCCGTCTCTGTGGGGAGGACGCGGGAAAGGCTGCTGGGCCAGGGACCAGTGACACGTTTACACCAACCTGGCCCTCTGGAGGAGGGGCGACTGCCCGTGTTGGGCAAGGAAACAGCCCCCAGGGACAAAGGACCTTTGTCTGAGGAGAAACCCAGCCCCGGCACTGGCCCCTCCGTCCAGGACAAGCCTTCCGTCCCAGGAGCCTTGGTGCCCACGCCGCCTCCCCCATCCCACCCCTCCTCCCCGGGGATGCGCTCACCTGTCTGCCACCAGGTGTCCACCACCGTGCACCGTCTGTCCCCCACCACGTCGTACAGCCACTCCCAGGCCTCCTGGTTGATTGGCTCTCCCACTGAAACCACATACGAGAGAGAAGACATTCAGAGATCTCAACAAAGCTGAAACCAAAAGGGACAGATTGTACAAGGAAGACAGCTCTGTAATTACCCTAAAATACACAAAAGGAGACTTGAAAGGGCAGTGAGATTATCACATTTACAGCCATCAAAGAACACGAATTACAACGAGATACTTTCCCCAACAGAGGGTCGAGATCAAGAATGTGGAGCAGGCACCAGTGGAGTCGCTGTCGGGGCCGATTCGGGGGGCGGTGCTGTTTCTCTCCAGGTTTACAAGTGCACGCAGCTGACACAAGGGCTCTGGACAAGGGCTGGTGGCAGAGTCCACTAGCACTAAGCAGGTTTGTCTGTTACTGGAAACGGCACACACCCACCACAGGCAGACATGGATGACGATGTCCCCGTGGGCAAAAGCTAACAAACGTCGTGGAGAGCAGATGAGAAGTGTATCAGGGCACATTTGTGCAGTGGAAGCCCACACCAGGGAAAAGGGCAGCCACGCTGTGTGGCAGGGCCACTGCCCAAGCGAAGGCAGCACACAAGCCTCAGTCCACGAAGTTCAAGAACCAGGAACTCAGTCTGAGCTGAGCAGGTCACAGGGGCCGCAGAGGGGCACGGCTGGGGCACAGGGAGCCTGAGACCAAGAAGGTCCACGGCTCCATCCGGGGTCATGGTCGTCCTGCACTCACACACACACACACACACACGCAGCACCGGCTGACGAGCTGGGAAACAGACAAGGGCCTGAACGCCCAGGGACGTGGCCACGTGGGCCACACACTCCCTAGCACCCCTCCAGGACGCAGTCAGAGCCGGTGGGAAACTGCACGTCGTCTGTTAGGTCAGCGTCACAGAGGGGCAGCACAGTGTGACCACAGGCGGAGCTGTGTCTGCCCCCACGGTAGAGCTCGGCTTTCCCGGCCACCTTCTGATTCTGTCTTTTCCCAACAAGAAGGCATCTGTGCACTTGTGAAATTGAAGTTTAAAATTTTTTCAAGAAACAAAACCTTGGGTAAGAGTCTTGAGAGAGCTGGATTCTGCTGACGAGAGAGGCTGCGCAAAGGGGCCGCCCAGAGCCCGCTGAGCTGTGTGGGCTGGGCAGCGCTGGGGTCGGCCTGAGCCGAAGCGGCCGGGGGCCCAGCCCCGCGAGGCAGGGAGCGGCCCCAGTGCCCACCCAGCTCACTGGGACTCACTGGAAGTCACTGGCTCACACACCGTTTACCAGGGACTCACGCTGACGGCAACAGCCTGTTTGTGGCCCG